AAAGGTGGGGAAATAGTGAGAAATTATGTGACATTAAATAATGTAGTCAACCCTAGATACTTGTGGTCTAGTGAACTTTCAAAAGTTTTTAGAAGCTGACTTAGTTTATAAAGGAGATTCTGTTTCCTAGAATCTTGTATTGGAACAGTGATGGGATATTTGGGGAGACTGCTGGTTCTGGTGGTTAGTGAAGCAATTAGATCAGTGGTTCACAGATTGCAATTCATAGACCAGAACCAATGCCAATGATGTTTCTTTAAAGGGCCTCTTAACCTTTCCGAGAGTACCAGTTTTCAATTTTGGATAGCTATCCAGTCTCTATACGACGTATACTTCGGCTCTGTCTCATATCACGCAGAAAGTAAGATATAGGATGTCTTAACTCCACCAGACTAGAGGGGAGGGAGTACAAGCACATTTTTCTCCTTTTCATGCTTACCAGGGCCTTTTGGTTAACTTTTATTACTTGCCAAGGCTAGAAAATATTGGTAGAAATAATTCTAAAATCATTCCTACATAACTATGAATTGATCTGCAGAATTATTTTCCTTATTCAAATGGGCTTTCAAATCCTATTTTTGTCAAGGATAACACAAGATTATTTTGTAATCTTTCACCAGATTTGTGGAAGGTAAAATACCAAAGGAAAAGCCATCTTTGAACTTAAACAATGATCTCTATTATGTTTAATTGCCCCAAATCGAAAGCCCATGTTCAGACAACCAGAATTAATTCTACCTCTTGGGCCTAATCCATGTTTGTTTTTGTACCTTAGTTTGTTGACCAATTTCTTGGACATACTATTTTGGGCTTTGGATGAAGCTAAGAAAATTCTTTCCTTTAAAAAGAAGTGGAAACAGCCAAGCTTAGCAAAAAGATTAAAAGTGAGAATACAAGTCTGTGCTAGGTTGCAGCATGATCTTGGAGTCAGATTCTGTCATTTCCTTGCACAAAATAACAAGTCTTATTCATAGAGTGTTTTTTGTAGATGGACAACCACATAGGATGTGTGTGTTTGTGTGTGTGTGTCTATATATATATGCACAGTATAGATACAGTACATATATATGATCAACAGATCAGTAGGTTTCAGGGGTCACAACCTTTCGAGTCTGCACAATGCCCAGCGCAGAGCCATGCACATGTGCCACTTAGCTGATGGTGATGGCGGTGACAGGGATGCGGTTGAGCACGCAGCAGAGGACAGAGCAGCGCCGGAAAAGCCTCCCCTTCCCCTGGCCCCTGTGCCACTCCTGAGAGCACCTCCTGCTGCTCCTGGATCTCTCATCATTTTCTCCTCTGCCCCACTAAGGTGTTGCGCCCAACATACCTTTTCTAAAAGCTCCTGGTTTCTCTTAATGAAAAGTTGTTTATCTTCTACCCAGTGTGAATCCTGTTTGACAAAGAATATCGCGCAGTCAGCATTTCAGAGTGGCACGAAAGAGCCTGTGTTGTCAAACCACTTTGTCAGAGAAGTCTTCTTTCCACCCCGTTTGTTTGCCTGCCAACGACTGGTAAATGACACCCACCCCTGCCAGCTCCTTCTTCAAAGACATTGGGGCCAAAGTTGCCAGGAAAATTTAAGCCCCTTTTCATTGTCACTCACTACCTCTACTTTTTCAGTCTGAATAATCCAGGACCAGCCTTCTGGGGACTCAGAAGTGACCACACAGGCAAAAAGTGAAAAGGGTCAGAATGCACACAGGCTAGATACATATGGATGGAACACATTAAAATGCAGAACCATAAATGTAGCATAGAGGCAAAGGACGCAGCTTGTGACAACTCCAGGCTATTTGCACAGGGCTTCTCCTCCTCTGGCACTCTCTCTCTTGCCCAAACTCATTCACTGTTGTAGCTGGGTTCACACCCTGGCCAGAACAACACCGGGGACAGAAATACAGAGTTGAACATTCTGATGCAGTTTGAGAAAGGTCCCCATGGAGAGCCAAGCCGTGTCTTGGAGGTGGCCCATGCACAGGTAAGCTAGAGGAAGGTCAGACTGAATTGTCTGCATCTGCATAAGAGCCAGCAACCAAATGCCTACCTGCCCTTTCTGAGCCAGAGTCGCTTCCAGGTCTTCAATTTTGGCTTTATACCTTAGCACCTCTGCTTGGAGCTGTTCTTGAGCCTGGCGAAATCAAAATTCCAGAACTCAACAAGTAAAATGGTCATTCAATATTTTCCTTCCTCTCATGTTTCTTAACTAGAACTCAACAAGTGAGAGAGAAAAAAAGAAGAATGTTCTATGACAAAAGAATCTTTCTAAACTACTTTCATGATCTAAATGCTTGTTAAAATCTTCCTGGCTCCCTTTGTTGTCAGGTTAATATTCAAACTCTTTAGCTTGGCATTCAAGGACTCCTACTGTATTTCCCATCTTTTCCTACTACTCATCAACTTAGAGTCTACTCCTTTGGTGAAATCCTTTTGTCCTAAATATGCCTGGCAACGCTCTGCTTTTCTCTTTATTTGAATAAGTTCCCTTTCAGTAAAGCCTTGTC